AGAGACGATCAGCTGTAACTAGTAACCATCACCAAGCGCACGCGGAACTTGGCTGTTCTTAAAGCGTATATAAATAAATTCTAAACGGAAGATATTAAATAACCTATAAAGTGCAGCTCTTTGTTGTGTTTGTTTGTTGTTGCTCATTCAATATACATAGTCATATATACATATATACGTCTATGGGCAATGAGTTTTTTGTTTACATGATATTTTATTTTACTACTCAACGCCTAACACAACTAACTAGTTTTACCATAATCCCGATATAGATAAGCCGAAGCCAAACGTTTGCTTCATGCTCTCCCAGTAGTATCGGTGCCAGTTTGTGGTCATAGCATCATATTCGGACGCAGGAATGCCAGTTTGTGTTAGCTTCAATTGGGTGTTGTTTTTCTGCATATAAAAGAGGAAAACTTTGTTATGAAGTCACCAAAACCAAGAGTAAAATAAATGATTACTTACCGTCTCCTCCAAGTCTATCACAACCTGCGAGTAGTGACCTGAAGGCCAGTTTTTAAGTCGCCAAGTTTGTTGAATTCTCTTTTCTGGTACCAGTTCTTCGAACTTACCTAGCACATTACCGCCGTACAAAACGAATCTACAACATATATATATGTAATAAATATAATTTGTACATCATTAACATAACACTTACTCGCCACCGCGCGTTGGCATTACTTTAACTGGTGCACGGGTGAAAGCAGTTAACATATCCTCTTTTGTCAAGGCATTATATAAATCGTTCGCACTACAATTGAACTCAACAGCCATTCTTAATGTTCTTACGTCTAACTTACAGCCAACATTATTCCCTGATTTATCACTGGCTTTCACTGTATTTGCACTATTCGATAGAGTAGCTTCCGCTGCGATACTGGAACCGGGTTGTTTAATCTTTGGCGAGACTACAGTATTTTCTTCGCCCTTCTTCGGAAGTATTAAATTTTTGGAATATTCCTCTTTCAATTCCTTGATATACAACGCGATGTGTTTCCGTACAACATCTCGTCCAATATTATACATGAACTGTTTCAGATTTTCCGATTCATCATTGGACTCGTCAATGGTAATGGTTATCTCTATGTCATCTAAATCGTTTTCTTCGGACAAATTCGGTATAGTTATTTTACCTTTATGCTCTAAATTGCTATTATTCAATAATTTTCCAGTCCATTTAAGTACCAATTTCCATTCGTAGAAGAATATAAGTTTCCCTTTACGATTGTTAACTGTAGCTTCACCGGTACAATCGTCCACATTATCTACAATACATTCGATGCCATCCTTTTCTGCAACATGCAATTAGTAATTTTCAAATATTTCCTGCTGTACATTTTTGAATGAAAGTGCATTTGCAATATATTTACCAATCTTAAGTCCTTTAAATAATTGTGCTAAACGGTCCTTGGACCAAGGTGTAGCGTTTTTTTCCGTCCAATGCCAATTGTTGACATTCGTTGCGTCCGGACGTTCTTCAACAATCCAACGTGGATCACCTTCACCCCACTTTGCCATTTTTTATTTTTTACTAAATAATTTACTAAATTAGGTAAACACTAAATATTTGTTCAGTATAACGTTAAAAAATTTCTCCGAGCAGTTGGTTTAGCAAAATTAAGAGGCAGAGCAATTTTCTACTAAATCACGTTCCGTGTGGCTGTTGACAGACAAAATGAAAATCGAGAATATTCGCGTATAAACTGACAGCTGATTGATGTTACCGGATGCACTGGAAACGAGAAGAATTTTAGAAACGAATATTCGTTTCTTAGCGAAACTTGATAATGGGCCGAATATTTCACGAATTTAGTTTTAAAATATTATATGCAATAAGCCAATTTTCAAAGATATAATATATAATATATGTACATACATACATATGTATCTGATAGAACTTTTAAAATTTATATAATAAGTAGCATTATTTCCTAATATTATTAAAATAAACATAAAATAACGTTTACAAATTGGTCTCATTAAAATTGTACAGATCCAATGGAATGGAAAACGTGTACTTTGTTATTTATCCACGCTAATTAGTTTTTAAAGTATGGTGGTCAGCTTATTGGCACTGAATTCGTGACTATAACTTAATGAGTATTCGGCCGATAGCCCATGATGCTAGTGCTGCGTATTTTCTTAGTTTGTATAATAATTGTATTATTATGTAAGCTTTTATAAAATAAAAAAAAAAAAAAACTTAATGAGTCTTGATTTTATGACAGGAAATTTATAAACTAATAATCTCGGGGAGTAGTCCATACATCTTTCTAATATCGGAAAGTACCTATGTATGTAAATAAAGTAAAAAATATTCCAATTGGGCTCTTAACATCTCTCTGACTTAAAAAAATGATATTATGACTAAAAATGAAAAAAAAAATAAATTTTAATTTCCAAAAGGAAAAACAAAAACAAAATATTGTAATTGTAAATTTTTTCTCGTAAAGTTGTCACATAAATTTTGAGGATATGTTCAAACATGAAAAAACATGTTCCAACTTGAAAAGACATGTCCTAACTTCAAAAAAAAATGTTCAAAATTGAAAAACATTTCAAACTTGAAAAACATGTTCATTCTTGAATAAACATGTTCAAACTAGGAAAAAAAAGTTCAAAATATTCTCTGCTATATAAAAAATTTAAATTATTTTGAACAGCGTTGCAAACGCTCAACGAAACTCCACGCATATTGCCTGCCAACTAAGCTCATATGTTTTTTAGCGTCGCGAACGCGCTCTAAGCCAAGTTTGAGTTCGCTTTAAACCGGTTTTTGGCCAACAGCTATGCATTTGAGTAATTGCCTTTACGGCTGCGAACAGTTAACGTGAAGACTTTGAACGAAATGAATGTGGTAAACGGTGTTAGAAGTAGCTTATTGTCGTTTTCGCGCTCCTAGACACAAATATTTATTATACTGGAGTTGTGCGTAAGTGTGTCTGTATGTGCGATACGCTAATGTGTATGTACGTTGTATATGTGTGTGTGTAAATACCAGCCTATGAAAATATTACAAATTCAGTATTGGAATTTTATGGCACAACTTTACGCCTGCGCTTTTGATAACGTCAAACAACTTTCGCATAGTGAAATTGATGCAACGCCGCATAATAAAAATATAGCGAATATGACAATTTTTGGTAAAATGTTTAGTAATTTTGTTTAAATGCAGCGCAAAAGTGTGGTGTGTGGCTTAAAACACATACGACTGCGTCGATGAGTGTATGTGTGTATGCAAGTGATTTTGTATGCGCAGTTCGTAGGCTTAAGACACCAGTGGGAATCAATAGCCTACATACTAGCGCACAAACACACGCAAACGCACACGCATATATACATACATACATAGAATTTAATGAGATTTTCATACAATATTCGCCAATTGGAATGTAAATCTGCATACATAAACGGCAAATTTGCATGGAAAATATGTAAATTATTAAAAATACAGTTAGTTTTTGGATTATATATATACATACATATATGTACAAACATTTTACCAACTGCATTTCAACGAAAAAAGTGTACGGTAAATGCACAAGCATATGGAGGCTAATTTTTTTAGTGGCCAAGTGTTGTGAAAATATCTCAAGTAAACAGTTAATGAAGGCCAATGGCATTGGTGGTAACTAATCTTGCGATATTGTTCGTGTCGAACTTCGTTTTACGCAGACGCAGAGTGAAATATGCGTGAACATATTTGCTTTACATTTATGTACATTTGATATTCGCTTAATGTTGCTTGATATGCACAACACGGTGTGGTGAGGCTTAATGAAAAAGTTATAATACCGAATCAAAACAATAAAACGTTGAATGAAAATATTAAAAAAGTGCGATAGCTACAGCGACGTGAGGCAATTTGGTGTGTTTTCTATTATATTAATAAAATATGAGTGTTAAACGATGATTACACAAACAAATATGTACATACATATGTACATACATATGTATATATATATGTATGTATATATATATGTACATATGTATATAAAATCATATAATCATAAATAAAAAATAAAATAAAATCAATCGCAGAAAGTAATAATAAAAATGATTTAAAAAAAAATAGGGGAATATATTTTTTAAACAAATCCCGTTATTTTATTCTTATTACAATATTTTTACCTTGAACTTAATCGTTGAAAGTAATTTTTAAATAATAAAAACACAACAATATTAAATAAAATATTAAAAAAAAAGAGTTGTAAAAAATAATTTTATAAAAATATTGTTTTTTAAATTAGGTGAAAATAAACAAATGTTTACTTTTAATAAAAACTGAGACTATTTTTTACTTTTTAGCTTAAAAAAATATTGTTTAGTTAAACAAAAACCAAAAATTAAATGAAAAAATAAAATCATATATATTGTACATACATACATCTGTATGTAAATAAGCAATACATTATAGTAAAATAATTTCAAAGAAATTTTGGAGAACATTTTCGCTATTTTTTAACTTTACTGAAAATCTTTTTTTTATAATTATTTTATTTTGTTTATTAAAAAAAGTTTAATTACATAAATTTACTTGAAAAGTAATCATTTTAGTATTGATTTAAAAAAACTGGAAATCTAATTTTTTATTTATAATATTAAAATTTTATAAAACTAATTTTTTACTAAAATAAATTTCCCGAAAGTATTGCTTAAATAATAAAAACAAAACATTACTAAAAGAAAAATTAAAAAAATACAAAAAATAAACAATTAAAAATTAATAAAAAAACTATTATACAAAAAAAAAAAAAAATAAATAAATAAAAAAGCAATAAAAAATATTAAAAAAATATTATTATAAGAATTAGAAAAATATTTCCTCTTTTTTTTAAATTTTTTAAATTTTTTTTTATAAAAGTAATTCCGCTTTGTATTTTTTCTAAAAAATTTAGGTAAAAAAAATAAATAAATAATTAAAATATAAATTAATATTTTTAATTACGTAAAAACTAATTTATATGAATAATTTTAATTGAAATTTCACTGAAAAATTATCCAAAATCGATAGAAATTGAGGCTTTGCACTGCGACCTATAGTCTATTGTGCCCTTCCCTATACTACATATCGTCAAAAAGGTCCAGCATCCTGAACAACTCAAGTAACCTGCTGGGCGCGACTAAGAAGATGTGATCCCTGTCCACATAAATGGACCTTAGGGCCTTGAGCCTGCTTCTGCAAATTGCTGGGCAATCCAGAATTAGGTCTTCTGGAGTTTTCTGGCTCATGTCGCAGAACAGGCTATTCGTCTTTTGTGTTATCAATAAACTCCTAAAAGGGGATGACCAAATTCATATAGATCAATGAGGCATTTTGAATTTATCACAATCCAATCAACTTCGCTAGGTTCGGCAAAGGTGTGTCTACCGAGAAATTCTAATCTCAGTCTGGCAAAAGCCGGGCAATAGAGAATAAAATCAAACGATGATTGGCAAGACTGGTTTTACTGTGAGTCAGACGTTCGGAGGACCTTTTACGGTTCACTCTGATCTAGAAGGATCTCGCAGTCGCGCCAGAACTTGGTGTGTTCACTTAAGGTCCCAAGGTCAAACGCCAGATCACATCGGAAACCCGACTGGCTTCTAATCGGATGAAATTGGGAAAATTGTGGTCTCTCTAGCAAAGTCGTCGGCCTTCCAATTTCCTTCGATTCCGCTGTGAACGGTTATCCATTGAAATCTAATATGGAAGAAGCTTGCCAAGTTTTGAGTTTACAGTGCGCGAGTTCAAAGCTATTGTAGCCGTTCGGCTATCAGAGTAAATGTACGTTTTTCTGAGGTTACTCTACCGCATCCGCTTCAAATACAATACTGTGACTTGACCAAAGATGCCACCACCTTCCCTTCCTCTTAACTTCAATCCATCCGTGAAAACTTCACTGCACCTCTTCTTTCGAGTGCCCTCCACCAAAACACGACTTTATAAAATATTACCAAACTTAACCACGGTTTTATAGAGCCAGAACACCGCTTTTGGTGAGAGGCCCCACCTCTTTCCAATTGGTCTTCTACAAAAGTGTACATTAAGGAGAGTGAGCTTGATGTTTGGCTTCCATGAGAACTTTCTATCAAGGATAAGCCTCAAGTACTTCACCTAACGATTGAAGAATAGAACCTTCCAACGATGAAAGAGTAACCTCAGGGATTCTGTATATTCCACTTAAAAACCAGCTCAATTTCATCAAAGCAACCTTAATTAATTATTTCAAATATTTCTGATGCTTACAGATACCATATGAAATAACAACTGCTTGAGACCATAGTTTACTATGCTACCAAATACGATTAGTCAGGTGAGCATATGAAAGTCTTAAAGTAAGAAATTTGCTCACAAACTGCACATTACTTTCATTGACAGGACCGCGGCAAGGACTGGACCAGTCTGCATGAGGCTGCCGCCAATGGCAACGAGGAAATGCTGCAGACGCTACTCGCTGGCAATGCAGAACCCACCGCCAAGGAGACCAAATTAGGCAATACACCGCTGCATGAAGCGGCATCGCGTGGCTACAGCCGCTCGGTAAAGTTGCTCTGCGCACCCAAACCTAACACGAAACCGCCACCGAAGAGTAAGCAGAAGCAAGAGGCAACGAAACAAAGTCGTGGCACATTACAAAATGCAACGCTGGGCTTACAAAACTTTGCCGGTTTTACCGCCTTACATTTGGCGGCACAAAACGGACATAATCAAAGCTGCAGAGAGCTGCTAATGGCTGGCGCCAATCCAGATATTGAGAATTATGTAAGACAATGATCTTTAGAGATTTTTCGACTCTTTTAAATTTTAATTTTACTTTGCGTTCCTCAGTATGGCGACTCGGCGCTGCACACGGCCTGTCGGTACGGACACGCCGGCGCCGCACGCATTTTACTCTCCGCCTTCTGCGACGTCAACAAGAAGAATCTCAATGGCGACACACCCTTGCATATAACCAGCGCCATGGGCAGGCACAAATTGTCGCGCATACTTCTGGAAGCCGAGTGTGAAATCAATATACGCAATTCACAAGGCGAGACGCCGCGCGATATAGCAATACGTAAGGGGTTCGGCAAAATATTGGACATTTTAGACAATCCACATCGCATACGCAATAAGAAAGGCAAACCGGCAACGGGTGAAGAGGATAAGACGAAAGCAGCGCCCTGCACGTCTAAAACACATGCGAATGAGGTCAGTTGGTCGCCATACGGTTGTCATTACTTTCCCGATATGCGCGCATTTCCATCGCCAAAACTGGAGACACTACCCAAAGAGCCGCTGAAGCGCGGCGAACAATACTATTTGGACCTCGCCGGACATATACGCAAGGGACCGATCGGTATCGGTAATATCTGTTACTGCGGTCCGTTCTTCAAGCACATCGAGGATAAGATCAATTCGAATAAGCGACATTTACGCAAATACGTACACACTGCCAAGGAACATTTGGACGATAAGGTGCAAGCTTTGGCGGCGCGTACAAATCATCAAATTGAAAAGTTAACGCGCACCATGATCGCCGATCGTGTGGAATGTCAAACTCGACGTTTATATTTGGAGAACTATTTGAAACGTGGCGATCCCTTGCGTTTAACGGCGGACGTTACGACGCGTGGAAGAGAGGCACGTGAAATGTGCGACACCTTGAAACGCTGTCGAAGTCTTGAGTTTCTGGAGAAAGTCGACATGTCGGAGGGTAAGTTGGCGAACTCGCGCAGTTACGATCTGCTCGATGCGAATGCGAATGCACCGGAAGTAGTTGTCGAAGACCGTATGAATGAAGCGCGGTGCTGTCCACACTCCACTGAGTTACAAAATCATTCGAATGAAGACTCAAACAATGAGTTTTATGATGTCTCGAAGCGTTTGGGTAGTTTGCTGGCAAAGACGAGCCCATTTCTGACAGTGCCCGCGCACGCAGTACCAAATTCACCGACCAAAGCAACAGCGGAAGCATTGGAAATAGACGCGGATGACGGTGGACTGACCACGCGTCTGCAAAATATGCATTTGAGTCCATCGAATAGTGAGGCATCGAATATCACACCGGCGCAGCTGAGTTCCGAAACTGGCGCGATATCGAGCCCCGACTACAATTGTAATTTCCGTACGCCGCATGGCGCGACGAAACGTAAAGCTTTTGCGGCGTCGACAGAAGAAGCTGCAACCACAGCATCATCATCGATGGCGTCACCAGCCGAACGTACACAATACAGAGATAAACCGATTACTAACTACGGTAATGAAAGACAGCTGGAGTACTTGTACAGCATACAGAAGCGCGGTAGCGTCATACAGAATGTGATAAGCGCATTGCGCAAAAGTCATCAAAGAGCCGATGATAGTTTGGTGTTGGCTAAGACACGCAACGAATCAGAGTACACACAAGAGGATAAGCTGGGCTATAAAGATGAACTCTTTCAGGTGCAACGTTCGGCGGAATGTGAAAGCAAAGAGGCGGCGATGTTGAAAGAGGTCGGCTTGCCACTTGAAAATTTGAGCGTGAGCACGCATGCCTTCGCAATGAAGGGTCGAGACTTTAACGAAATGCAACGCTTACAAACACAAATTGGTGAATACACGACACCAACATACATCGAGCAGGAGGAGGCGCGTTATCAGGATTCCTCCTACACGGAAAGTCATCCGGGCGAAGATTGTTTGGATTCCTTGGAAAGCGTACAGCAACACGCGTCACAACAATTTACCGGTACGAATAATGCGCCATTATACGCGCAACAAATTTTTGACAAAGTCGGTGTAGCGACTCATGGCTCAACGCCCTCACACGCCACAGACTCACCGGATTCGCAGAATTATGTTTTTCAGACAAACTACTGGCCCGAACGTTATGTGCCGAAAGACGCCTACTTTCATGATTTGTCACAACGCAAATGCAAGGTTGCACAACCAAATGTTGCAACCACAGCCGCTTCAATAACAAAACCGTCAACCGAAGAGGCTACGGCATACACGAATGCTTTGCCGAAGTTCAAGGTTGCTAATGCGGTAAAAAGTATAGAGAAGCTTAATGGTCAAGTGCTGGCGAATACTTATATACGTGATCCCACCGTTAGGAGTAGTCTCAAAGCCAAATCTTTTGTGGTGCCTGCAGTTGTAAGCGTAAGCCCGAAGAGTTGCACCGCTTGTACCGAAGCGATTTGTAATGGAAATTGCACTTATGATGAATCGCTGAATATGATACGCGAGCCTCGTGTTCGGCGCCCAATTCGCGAGGAGGAACAAAATGAGGCAGTGCCCATTGGCTTCACGACAACACAATCGGCGAGTTTGAACGAAACTGGCACAATAGTTCATAATGGCTTAGGACCCTACAGCTCTTACAGTCACGACGAAGCTGGTGCACTCGCTGGCAAGACCAGCCGGCTGCCGGCAGCGGGCTTCTATGCGAGTAATGTGTCTAGTTTGGTCTGACGTTGCTATTAATCCTAAAATTTGTATAGTGTTTAAATATTGTATTATATTATTAGGTATGTGATCCTAAGTTATGTAGGGGTGTCCAAATAATTGTAGAACGTAAAAAATATTGCTAAGCATTAAATATATTAAATTATAAACAGAGATATAACTATTTTGTTGAAGTTTCTATAATTGCCTTCAAATTAGACTAGACGTTAGGTTAGGTTAGGTCAAGAGACCGATCCTAACAGGGATCTTGAACTTGAAAAGCTACCAGTATATGCTGGATTATCAGATGCTTACAAATCAGAAGAGAAAGTGCCTAGATTCATCTTACTACACAACTTTGACAACCAGTGTCCGCCAGTGCCCAATAAAATCCACTACGAATGCGGCAAGAGGAACTTTGCTCAAGGCAAGTAGTTCAGTAGATCTCCTGCATTCTACTCTAGGCCAAATTAATGGTCTTCGACTAGCGCTTGCCAAGCGAGATACATTGGTTCAGTGCTAGAACGCAAGACATCAATGGAGATCTAACTCGATCCCATTCCGATGTGTGCGGTGCCAGGGTATACTCTCTGATTCGCATGTCGGTTTCACAATTGCCAGCGATTCCGCTATGGTCTGCTGAAACAAAGAGTCTGATGATAAAGTAGATTGATGCTATTGCTTGTAGGCATATGCACTCCTAGTCTAGATTTGAGTTAGCGATCTCAGAACTAATATGGCCAATCCGCAGATTGAGGCCTTAGAGCCAAACATCAGGCGCGTTATTCGCCAGTTACCAGTCGAAATGCTCGAAAGGGTCACCATCTGAGACGTAGTCGCGGCCAACATTTGAAGGATATAATCKTCAAAAAATAAATGCCAAAGAATGTTCTTTCGCATGATAGTAAACGTTCGATATTAAATTTGAAGATTCTGTGTTTTATCTTAAAAAAAAGTAGGGAACCTCGAAATTGATCATATATATTTCAAATATGCCTTGGACCTACAGAAAACGGGAATACTATATACCCAGCAAACTTACAAACTTGTATTTGCAAGAATTTACTCCAAATATGCGCTGCTGTTGTATTTCTTTTAGCACTTACATAAATATTTATTCCGAACTTCCTATTCTTCGCTTCATATATACTCGCTCATACTTATTCATGGATACACATACATATATGTAAGTATTAAAATAGAATTAACATTGAATTGTCTGTCAAATTGGAAAATAAAAGACTATTATTTTCTTTTGCATTTGAATGTGTGCGGCTGGAAGAGAGCGCGACAAAGTGGAAGAAAGCAGTAAGTGGCTGACAAAAGGAGCATATATCCATACAAACAGACAGCATACAACATAACTGTTATAAAAATGATATTGAAGATGTTATTTACTTGATTTTAATGTCAACTAAAACGGAATAATCACATTCAATGCAATGTAGATTGACTTTTTGAGTATAATAAATAGCTTGATATCCGTATGTATAATATTATTTCCCCGACCACGCATTGAATAAATAAGTGAGCTGTTTCGAGACGTTACATGTTTTAAGACTTATAATAGAAGCTTGGCATTTAACTAATATCAATTCCATTAGCCGGTTAAGAACTGCAACTAAGATCTTTTAGTGAGTGAAATGACGAGTAAGCAAATATAGCGTTAAACACAAGCAATTATTTGCTCTCACAGCAGAGATTACCTTTCAAAAATACGATTTAGTTAAAGTTAAGAATGAATAACCAAGCTTAAAATCGAGACGCTGACTTTTAACTTGACGAAAACACTCTAAAATACGACCTAAAATATGCCCCTTAAACCTGTCAATGCTAATCCATCCCTATTCGAATTTTTTGDAGAGTGCTTTTGGTATGTTTTGCCTCATCTGTATTTTGAGGAACTCTGAATTGAATTGCAGAGAAGTAGATAACATCCTGACTCTAGTGATAATTGAGATATCTTGATGACGCAAGCTCAGCTGTATTCTGAACTTGTTCTTATTGGTATGTAGTCGGAATTTCGAAAATACATAACTTGTTAGAACTCTGTAACCTGTAATTAAGCTGATTAGGTTAGAGAGTTGATCCTTTGACATGGTGGAGGGATCACACTCAGGCTGTTATGTTCAGTACTTTGTAAAGCCAGAGAAAAAAAAATCATATCGACAAAAGAGCCTAAACCTATCACAAATCTGCTTAGATGTTTTATTTCTAATTTCATCCGAAACYTTTGSCTTCATCCAGCAAAAKTTGRACATTGAAGGAGGAAGTGTTGAGAAGATCTATACTTCATCATCTTCTAAACAGCTGATGCTGCTGGCGTCCGAAAAATTCTTACCGCACTAACCGCACTAATAATATAGGACAATGTCTAGTTAGAACCCATACAATGATTTACTGAGCCTACGGAGCTCCTACGCTTTTTCATTCCACAGTTATTGAGACTGAAGTACAAGCAAGTTCATCAGCATTACAGTTTCCTGCAATATCGCAGGACTCCAAACCAGCCGTAAAATAGCTCGATGATAAAGATAAGGAGTTCAGACCTCCCTTTACTAGTCTTCGAGGCCAGAAATACTGATTCTGGGAACCGTTGTAGACCCCATAAAGCGTACATAAATGATCAGCGCGTCGAGCTGTATCGATTTAGCCATGTCCGTCTGTCTGAATGTGAGCGAACTAGTCTCTTAGTTTTTGAGATATCTATCTAAAATGTCGCACAATTCTTTCTCCCGAAGAAACTCCTCATTTGTCGGAACTGCTAACTTCGGACCCCTATATGGATTCCTCCACGGCAAGCTTTTTCATTTGTGATGGGTACACTGGCTTCGGTGCTTTAGTTTAAGTACTTTTTAAAATTTTTTAGCACTCCATTTAACTAAACCTCACTTTTCCATTTGAAAAATGCATGCATTTTCTTTCCATAATTTACTAGCAACAACAWTGTAATTTACAGCTAGTTTGTGCTTTGACAGTTATATGGAAAGGTCAGCAACATTGCGAGTCTWACACGTTACACCATCTGTCGCGATGTCGCAAAGCCTTTAATTATTTTTCAATACTTCATTCTTAAGAGTGAACAGACACGCCCACACACACACACAAACTGGGCTACACATTCCCGCCTTGTCGATATATCAATCGAATTAATGCCATACTCACACACATGCATTTGAGTTGTTGTGTTGTATGTGCGTGTGTTGCAAGTTTAATTAAGTATTCTTGTCAACATGCTTAGCCGCCGCTTGGCGATTTTCGTGACCGATGATGATGCTCATCTTTTGGCTACACACTTTGTGGTATCATCGTTTAAATTCAATTCAATTTATGACCAATTACTTCATTAAATTTAACTTGAGCCGTCMCTGCGCTCGCCTTGTCAATGTTTGGGGTGTTGTTCGAGTCGTGCACTTTTCGCTGTTGTTGTTGTTGTCAAATATTTGATTTGTAAAATTAGTTGTGTATTTATTTGTATTTGAGTATTATTCAATTTCTAGTTTTGGAAGTAAGTTTGATAGTGAAAGAAGTAGAAAAAGTGACGCAAAGCTGCAAAGCTTTCATATCTGGCATATCTGGCATACATATACATATGTAGGTTTCGCTTTGACCCCAATATAGATTGTGGTCCGGCATGTGTAACTTTACCCCGAGAAAGTAATGATCATAAAATACTTCTCCTCATCATCTTCTTCCAAACAGCTGATGCTGCTGGCATCTGGTAAAAATCTTACTTCATAATTCCCGATCGGACAATGTTTAGGTGGAACCCCTTCAACTATTGAAAGGTGACCCTTGCTGAGAGCGAAGAGTTACCTAGACGTTTTGCGATTTACTCTGGTTGAGCAAGACCTTGCGACTGCACAGCTGCTGTTACGTGYTCCTACGCTTTTCAATTCCACAATTATAGGTACTGAATCGACTTGAAATTTTTATACAATCCTCTTAGATATATTCTGCCATACTGGATAGGAAAGCAAAGCAAATGGGTCTGGTAGTGAACGAGGGAAAGACGAAATATCTCCTGTCATCAAGCAAACAGTCGTCGCAATCGCAACTAGTCTCTCATGTCACTGTTGACAAACTTCGAAGTAGTAGATAATTTGGCTTATCATGAAGCCAGCWTTAACACCAAAAACAACGTGGGCATCGAAATCCAACGCAGAATAACTCTTGCCAATAGGTGCTACTTCAAACTGAACAGACAATTGAGAAGTAAAGTCTTCTCATGACAAACAAAGACTAAACTCTACAAGTCACTCATCATTCCCGATCTGATATATGGTGCAGAGGCATAGACGATGGCAACAGTTTTCGAGATAAAGGTTCTGCGGAAGATTTMTGGTCCTTTGCGCATTGACAACGGAATACCGCAGTCGATGGAACGATGAGTTGTTCCGTCCAGATATGTGACGCCATCGACATAGTTCAGCGAATTAAGAGACGACGGCTTGGTCATGTCGTCCGAATGGATGAAAACGCTGCAGCTCTGAGAGTATTCGACGAAGTGACTGTGGGGGGAAGCAGAGGAAGACCTCCACTCCATTGGAAAGGCCAGGTGGAGAAGGACTTGACTACACTTGGAATCTTGAATTGGTTCAATCACTGGAATTTTCTGTCTTCGGGTTAGCAAGAAAGGTCTTCAAASTTACATATAACGGAACTTTGATTGCTCTGTGTCAGTTGTTGAGCTTACAACTTCCGGACTGCTCCATCTCTGCCATAATAATAACAACTTTAATACCGTTAATTAGCAGCTCCGTTAAAATATTTATACTTTTTCTTAGTCTCACTTTTCAAATTTATGCTTAAACTATGGTCTTCCGCAGTCGCTTAATCCCGCTTTTAAAGCAAACGCTCGTTTTTCTCAATTTCCGTTCGCCATTGAATAATCGCTTTTGAATTAAACGACMCACCGCCCGCTAAATTGTCACCTTACAAAGACGTTTACATATCAAATCAAACACACACACTCACACGCGCGCGTTTATGTGTATGCGCGGCGATCTTTTGTCCATTCAGAATTGAGAAGAATGTTTCTTTCACTCGACTCCGCAGCGCAAAATGCAGTCACGAAGCGCAATCTTCCCATGACTTTCTTCTAATGATTATCTCTAGTTATGCGGCGGCAGCACGTTTGTGGGTCTTAACAAAGTCGCCGAAAATTTGGACTTGTAAACACATACATACATATATACAACAATGATTAACGTGTGTAGGTATGTATGTACTGAGTCAAGCGCATTTTATGCATTCCTCCAGTGAAGCTGAAGACGAAATACAAAAATATGGAACAAGAAAAGAAGCGGAAGGCAGCAGAAACGGAAGCGAACGACGTCATTCTTTCGCAATTTATCCAGCTYGCTCTTAGAATGAACAGTGATCAACAGCGCTGGGGAATGATTACTGAAGCTGGCAGCAAAGCGGARCTTACAGTGCTCGCGCASGCTAGAGAGCACAGAWCTAAGACACTATTTTGGCATGCCGTAGGCGCTCAGTTCGCGACAAACACTCGGACGATGCGCAACGCTGKCGAAAATGCAATTTCGGAAGCGCTAAGTGATCGCAAAGACGCCAAAACTTATATAGAAAATATATAGTGCAGTGAAAAARTTGTRGTGTTGAAAGAAAATATACACGGATATATAATAATTTATGAAAAAAGCTTTAAAAAATTAAGTAATTAAACAAAAGTAATATTTAAATTAAAATTAATAAAAGCTTTGCTTTGTATTTGAAATCGGAACCATAACTAGAAAAAGTATCAAAAGCAACTTTAAAAAAATTAATTAAAAAATCAAGTGAATCTACAATGACACCAGCGATTTCAACCACAATCCACCTTATCGCATTTGTGGTTTTCTTTGTGGTGGCGAGTTCAGCTTTGACGACCTTGCATAATACTGTAGAACCTGCCGAGTTAAAACGTAACGATTTGGCGAGAAGATTTCTGGAAAATGACACCGTTTTATTAGCTTGTGATAATCATTGTACGTATTCTGCTGCGTGTAATAATTTATAGGGGAAGCCTTGATATTGAACTACAAAGGAAGGACCTGAGAGCTTTAGGCTAGTACACTAGTCTAGAGGCTCGAAGTTCGAGCGCTTTTTGGCGATTACAAAAGCATACGATATTAATAATGAAATTCTGAAAAAATGTTTGTAATTTAAATTAAATTTTCGGTGACCTCCCGGAAAAAAGATTCGCCCACGTTGGCAGGATAACTTATTACAGGATCACTTAAAGAGAAAAAATACGTGTCGTAGTTAAAACCTTAACTTAGATCTTTCACGAAGGAAAAACAACAGAAAACTATATTTTTGGCAAAAAGAAAATTAAATTCCGGTGGACATTTAGCGACATTTTTTTTTCAAATAGTTGTATCGAAAAAAAATCCTTCGTCCAAGTCTTTAAGAATTGTATCTCAAAAACCTGTGTAAGATTTCATGAAGATAGGTTGAGTAGGTCTCGAAAATACTTGCCAACCGGCTTCAAAAATACAGTTTCGGGAAAAAGGCGTTTAAAGACGGCGCACTTGGCGTAGTTAGCCTCGAGCGCAGAAGTTCTCAAGGCTGTATCTCCGAAATTATTACTCGGAACCACTTGAAATTTTAGGAAAATATTTTAGTGGGGTTTAGAAGTTCATAAGATCAAAAAACACAAAAAAAAAAAAAAACAATTGAATTTTTAAAACCCGGAGCCCCATGTAACCCCTTAAGATATTTTTCAATATCTAAACAATCGAACTATGTATTAAATATTTTTTCATTAAAATTTCTGGACGAGAATCGTCTTCGAAGTAGTTTTATACTTTCCAGGTTATATATGCTGGAATATATTGAGTGTCAAAATTTTCTATTACTAGAAAAACGTTAGGGCTTGGAATAAACGATTCACCGAGCAAAACTATATAATTTACTAATTAGGATAGATATTTTTTTTTAGAAACCACTCGTCGAGTAAAACTATACCATTGCAGCAATATTTATTTTGTCGCCTTCAAAGTAACCCTCACCAGTTRTAATAGATTTCTGACAACGATTTTCAGCSTCCTCAAAACAGTTTTCATAMATTCTTTTAGGGATGATGGCCTTTAGCTCCTTCAGCGAATTTTGTTCTACCTCTTTGATCGACTGAAAACGGGGTACACGGGGCAGCAAATGCAGTTGGGAAACAAGAAAAAAATTACACGGAGCCAAATCTAGTGAATACGGTGGTTGATCGATGGTATTCATTGCGTTTTTCGCTTTAATTTCGATCAGTGTTCGATAGTGCATTATTATCGCGTAAAATTCATGAATTGTTCTTCCACAATTCTGGCCGTTTTCGACGGATGTTCTCACGCAAATGCCTCAATATGGCCAAATAAAACTACTTATTAACCATAAGTCCCTTSGGAACAAATTAATGATGCAGCAAACCACGAATATTGGAAAAAAACAATGAGCATAACCTTGATTTTTGAGTAGCAATGGCGTGGTTTTTATAGTTTCGGAACGTTTTTTTCCCTCTATTCCGATGATTGTAGACTTGTTTTCATGTCAATCTCATAAATCCATGTCTTATCGTSAATTATAATGCTCTACATGAATGTGGGATTGGAATTCGTACTATCAAGCATTTCCAAAAATCCAAGACCTGTTTACGGTACTTTTTTTGAAAAAAAAAAAAAAATTAGCTTTAACGGGACGAGTCAAGGAAAAAACGCGTTTCATACTAAAAATATCCATCAAATTCATTCGAACGGACACGCAAGAGATGTCGAGCTCTTTTGCCATCTCTCTAATACTTAAGCACCATATCATTCGTGTTTTTAAAATTTTCATCAGTTGAATAGGTTGAAGTTCTTCCACAACGAGGCATGTCTTCAACGATCTTTCGACTGTCTTTAAAAGCTTTGTACCACTCGGAGGATTGTGTTTTTGATAAAACAGATACACCGTAAGCCCTTTTTCAACATTCGCAACGAATCAGCACACGAAATTTGGTTARAAATATTAAATTTGATACAAATTCTTTGTTCGATACTTTTATCTATTGTAAAAAACGCAATGCASTACTGAGGTGTATTGACTTAAGCAGCTGCTGTAAAAACAAAGTAGTTGACAGATCGCGCTCATATTTGGCATAGTAATTCTGTACAGTTCTACCAACTTAGCGAAATCTTTTAAAACATTATTTACCTGGGCAATTTAATTCCAATTTCCAAGTGCTTTTTTGTCACAATGTAATATAAGCTAGTTTTAAAAATGATAAATCTATATAATGAGTCCACGTCAATATTCTGATTTGAAACGAAAGTTAGGACAGGGTTGTMTTTGCACAGAAAACAGAGGTTAAGACCGACTGRCATCTAAAACTCATAATTTCTATGAACTAGTTTCATTTCAGTACGTGCGTTGGTACAAAGAGGATCAATTAATTGTCGATTCACGCGACAGCAATGAGACATTAACGCCCGATCGCATACGACTTTGGTCTAACGGTAGTTTACAAATTGCGCAGTTACAACCGATGGATACGGGCGATTACAGTTGCGCATTGAAAACCGACAATGACACGGAAGTGCAGAAAATGCACAGCATAATAGTACAATATCCGCCGACGGTTAAGACAGAACCGGAAGGTATTGTCGAATTTCCAATCGGCGCAGTTTTTCAAGTAATCTGTGAAGCTCGCGGCGTGCCACAGCCCAAATTGTATTGGCGCTGGAATGGCAAATTGGTGGATAATCAACTGATCGGCAATCGTTTGAGTATGCAAATCGAAGTGGGTTCGCGTGCGCAAACCGGGCCGATCGAGTGTGTGGCCAACAATAGCATAGGTGAACTTGCGGTGGCCGGCATGTTTTTGAGAGTGCAATGTAAGTGGTTAGATACAAAATTTATATATATAAAAAAATATTATTATATGAAAACCGTTTATATGTAGTTCCACCAGAGGTGCGTTTGGAAAGAAATATAATCTACACTAAAGTCGGCATACGCAGCGATTTGGAGTGCCTGATCGAGGCAGTGCCACGCGCAAGTGTTAACTGGTTTCACCATGGCGTACCGATGACCTACGATTCCCGAATAAGTCGCTATGAGCTCGAAATGCAACCGAATGTTTCAAATCTGCAATACAACACTGTCATTAAACATACATTGTCTATTAGAAATGTGCGCGACTCAGATCTCGGTTTGTATGAGTGTCGCGCCGAGAATAAATTGGGTTTCAAGAGCGCGGCAATCGATTTGACTGGACGTCCCATGCCGTGTGTCTTCAAAATCAATCCAGGCGTGCAAAGTTCAACCTCACATGTGCTGGTATGGCAGACGGAAAGCTTGTCGGCGTTAATGGAGTTCAAGTTAAAATTCAGACAGATACCATCAGGTAAAAATATGCAATTTAGCAGCGTAAGACATCATTTAATACAATTTATTTTTATTTAATATTGCAGCAAGCATTACACCACAAACTTTGGACATTGATTTCAAAACTGATTGGACTATTTTGACCATACCATCAGAGCTATCTGCGGGTAATTTAGTTGTATTAGAATATACAAGTAGAAAATGTAAATACGATTAACTTTTGTTTTTAGGACCCATTCATATCACAACATACACCTTACACGGTCTACAACCAGCAAGTGTCTACGAGGTGGTAGTGTTCGCACGCAACCACTTTGGTTGGAGTGAGAGCAGCAAAATTGTGAGATTCGCAACGGGTGGTGAAGGTAAGACAAGCACTTTTAAAAAACAAAAATAATTATATATAAAATATTTTTTATATTATTAATTCATTTAGTTGAATTGCCAAATTACTCCACGGAATCGGAGTTGGATAGCAACGAGGAGCAGTCGTCTTTAGAAATTGTGGAGCAGCCGGAGGAAGACTCAGTGCATTTGAATGAAATTTATGAAAGCAGAATTATTACCTCGGCAGCGGCCAATGTATGGCGGTTTATGAAYTTAGCAAGTTTCATGGCATTTGCTTATGTAAAATATGTATTGATATGATATTTTAAGCTAAATATATAATAATAACAAAAAGTTTAAATACCTCTTTGTGCCTTTTTGTTGCAACCGCAAAAAAATATTCCAAATGAATGGCGGTTTTTGGTGGAGATGATGGCACGTTCATATACAAAATCCATCTATTTTGTTTACAAACAGTCATGAYATCAAAAAGAGCCAAATTTTCCGAAAAATATTCTGATTAGAATTCACAGTTTAAGAATTTACTTTGCAATGAATGTGAGTGATTTCTTTTGTATAGTAAAAGTTGGCGTTTGAGAACTGCACTATTTATATTCGCGCTTCCTTCTTCATTAATACCGTTATAAAAACACTTGAACAGAAAAATATCACTTAGAATACACTTGGCATAATAAATATAATAATTTCTAAACTAAATGCTTTATAAATTGATACGTATATTATTCACGCGTATGATTCGTATTTCACAAAAACCGAAGTCATGCACTTTGGAAATAAATCTWATACAATACACACAATTTTTTATAAACACGAATAATYTAATTGATTGTAACTTTTCAATTTWATTAAATTCACATTTATTTGAAATTAACAAACTAAAGCGCAGCGGAAGAATTTTAACCGAGAACTGTCAAAAATTGCGAACTGAAGATGATTTGTAAATCAACGATATTTTCCAAAATCGATAACCGCTGCAGATAATAAATTTATTTAAGTAATTTCATGCTATTATTCATTTAATTATTACTTTTTAATAGTAGTAGTAGCAAAACTAGGTAATATTTAAACAAACAAAAATTCAAAAAATCACATAAATAATWAAATAAATAATTAAAAATTAACAGCAAGCATGAACTGCTTTAACGACACCGAAACAGTGYAATCTGTCAGACACTGCACAAACGAAAATGGAACGGCGTCGCATAAGTAAATGCCTGCGGCATATTACCAAGCAACTGTCATAGCGAAAGAGAAAACAACAAAAGCGAATTTCAAGTCTGATTTCATTTAATTAAACTAGCTTTTGTAGTACACAGAAACCAACGTAATAATGGAGCCTGTGCAGATCAATAGTGGTGAGGATTATGTTAAAGTCAATATATCGAATTCTAAAAACGACAGCATCGCGCTGGACTTGAAATTTGCAAARAGCCTTACAATCGGCCAACTGAAGGTTTGTAGTTTAACACACCTACACATTTCTAARCTGAGCCACTTTCCTACCTATAGTGCAAATTGGAAATCATAACAGGCGGCAATGCGGCCACAATGCAATTGGAGTTGTATAATGGCGATCGCTTGGTCACAAGTTTGCATGATGACAAYGTCTTATTGGGTGCGTTGCCCATAGAAACGGGTATGCGCATACATGTAATCGACAACTTCAATTGGATAGCGGATGTGGAGAAATTCGAGCTTACCGATGAGCAATACGAAACCAAGCAGGATACTGTGCGTAATTTTCTGAAAAAGAATCGCATGGGYAAGTACAATGAGGAAGAGACGCGTCAGAAGGAAGAAAAAYTGCAACGACAACGGCWGCTGGAGCAGGAGCGCGCTGAGTTGTGCACTGTTGGTGCGCGCTGTCAGGTGTGTGCTTATAGTGGTGTTTCGATTTTSATTTTTATGTTATTRTTTTTGAAAGTAATTAAATGCTTGKGTACATTAGGTGACAGTGCCTGGCAATCCAGTGCGTCGTGGTGCCGTCAGATACAATGGACCAATTGATGGCAAGAAGGGTATTTTCATTGGTGTGGAGTATGATGAGCCACTTGGCAAGAATAATGGAAGGTACGTGCTGGCTAAGCTTTTACATTTCTTATTTATTAAAATTTTATATTTTGAAAATATTCACAGCATTGATGGCAAGTCCTACTTCTCTTGCGCACCAAACTACGGCGGTTTTGTGCCACCAACGGCAGTAGAAGTTGGCGATTTCCCACCAGAGTATACAGGTCTCGAAGAAGATGAGATTTAAWACAAGACGATTTAAAGTATCCACTACGCATTTGTGATTGATTTTATTTAAAAACTTAGTAACGTACACATACATAAATATATATTTTATAAAGCTAGTTTTGTATAATTTAAATTAAAATTTTGGCGCATATGGCGTAATGAAATAAATTTACAAAATCAATGAGGAAAAACACCACCCACACACACCTTAATTAACGAACCGGAACACCTTGCGACAGTTGCGTTTAATTATGGGCATAACTCGCACAACAACTTCACTGCCATACCCTTATGTGTACCATTTATTGTTGTTATACGCGTCATCTCATGACTAAGCGCCGGCAAAATGCGAGCAGCCAACCTTATGCCGCTCAGTTGCTGTGCCTCATGCTTTGGCAGCAAAGCGCAATGCGCGATAAAACTTGTAATGGCAGCAAAGTCGACAAAAGCATATACAACAACCGGCTGGGCTTTGGGTGCACACACATATACAGACGGACGTCGTTTTGACAGTTCATTCATTGCGGCGCTAAGGTGCACAAGTGCTAGCATATACTTAGCCAAACGCTAGTACCAACATTTAGTAAGATTCAAATACGAACGCGGTTAAGTATTGCTAGGCGCCCGCGCTGCTAAACGACAGTAAACGGACTATATATTGGAATTTACGCTGTTGTTGTTGTATTTTTAATTAGTTTTGTTAACGCAAAAACAACAAAGCGCTAGTCAATATTGATAAGAAAGCAAATTGCTATGCAACCAAGTGCAATTGTGTAGTTGACGGAAGCAAAAATTACAAAAAAAAAAAAAACAAAGTAAAGACAAAAATAAAACAAAATCGTAAAAATAAAAATAAGGAAAAAGTAAATAAAGCAAGTGCATATACCAACTTACATATGAAAGGAAGCTGCTTGAGGGCGCGCGAATAAGTGAAATAAATTTAAAATTCTCGTTTTGTAAATGAGTTCGCGCACAAGTCTGCCACCATATATAGCATTGTAAATTTACATACGATTGATTTGCTATATATTATTGGACTTGCATATGCGCGTCTGTAGCTGATTTATTTAGTTTTCATACGATTTTTATTTGTTTTTATTGTTTTTGGGGTCGTAAAACAAGTGTGCATTTTTATTTTAGTGCCAGTAATTTGTGTACAATACAATACGCGCTGCTTGTTTTTGGAAAATTTATATATAACTGTGCTGGTATTTGGTACAGCAGATGCCCCCMAATACAAGTAGCGTGTGAGTGTTTGTGTGCATATGAAAATTTTGTGCTGCTGTTTAAAGTGTAATAATGCAATGCAATTACGTCTGGCAGACTTTCCCGAAACTATTTATAAATTAAACGGCTGTTTATATTTTGTGAATCATAAAACCGCAATTAACTGCATTTATAAAGAATTTGGAAACACACTAAACATAATTATTAAAAAAAAA